TATTTTCATCCTTATGAATTTTTTTTTTTTCATTAGCCATGAATTTTGCACATCAATTGTGCACGTTTTGATTTCATGGTAAATTTAAAAACTGAATGAATAAAACTCATCCAACCAAACACACACAGACACACACACACACACACACACACATTTGTGATAAATTTACAAAATATCTTCATGGAACATAATCTTTACTTAATATCCTAATGATTTTTGGCATAAAACAAAAATCTATAATTTTGACCCATACAATGTATTGTTGGCTATTGCTATAAATATACCCCAGAGACTTAAGACTGCTTTTGTGCTCCAGGGTCACATATAAGAGTATAAGAGTCATGAAGTTCATTCCTCAGATTCTCAAATAAACTGGATCAATCTGACATTGTTCACATACACTGCACCACCTTTTCCTGTTTACATCAAATGACTCTTTTCTTTCAACTCCACTGAGTTCTTCTGTGTCTGAATGAGCCAGAAATCTCTCTGAACTAAACCCTCTCATGTTGTTCCTCATTTCCCCCACAGATAATGATCGAGTTTTGCCCCGGAGGTGCTGTAGATGCCACCATGTTAGGTAAGACCTGAATCTCCTATTGCTTCCCTTCATCTTATCATGTTTATAAAAGCCCCCTGCAGCTTCCTTCTGATGATCTTGGTCATTAGCTCATGGGTGAGTAGGCAAACGCATTTATTCCTGAAGTTTAAACAGATATTGCATTATTTTGGGTGTTTTAAGGTCACTCAGAGTTCAATGCCTTTGGTTACACTGCCCTGCCTCTCGAACTCAAGTTTTGAGTGTGTGTTTGACGTTGACAGAATTTTGCGTGTATTGTTTGTGTCTTTCAGAGCTGGACAGGGGTCTTGAAGAGCCTCAGATCCGGGTGGTCTGTAAGCAAATGCTGGAGGCTCTTCAATATCTCCACAGCATGAAGATCATCCACAGAGACCTGAAGGCTGGAAACATCCTCCTCACGCTGGACGGAGACATCAAGCTAGGTTCGTATATAAGCGAACCAGTCGGCTGCGGTTTAAAACTGACAACCACAGTTACAGAATTAAACTAGCTGATTTGTGCTGAGGTTTCTCTTTTGGATGAAGGCCATTTATTTGGCTTTTTTGTCTTTTTTTTTCTCAAGCACACAAACTTGTTCTAATTTGATGAGGGCCAATAATTCTGTTCCAGAACCTACTGAGCAGCCGGTAACACTTTAGTTTAGGAACCAATTCTCGCTATTAACTAGTTGCTTATTAGCATGCCTATAATTAACATATTGGCTGTTTATAAGTACTGCCTTATTCTGCATGACCATATTCTACATTCCTAATCCTACCAAATACCTAAACTTAACAACTTCCTTACTAACTATTAATAAGCAGCAAATTAGGAGTTATTGAGGCAAAATTCGTAGTTAATGGTTTGTTAATAGCGAAAATGGGACCTTATAATAAAGTGTGACCGAGCAGCCTTCATGTTTATTGTCCGCATAGGCAGCCGCCGCCTTTATTTTATTTTATTTTATTTTATTTTATTTTATTTTATTTTATTTTATTTTATTTATGTTATCTCTTATGCCCAATACTATATGCCCAATACTAATACACTAACATTAAAATTTTTGCAGATATTTTCTATGTGAATATCTGTTAAACTGTAATGTATTTCTGTGATGCGCAGCTGTATTTTCAGCATCATTACTCC